GACGAAGGCAGGGGTAGTTTGTGCGTGTAACCAAATCGAAAATCAAAAACATGTTTGCAGAATACCTTGATTTGAGCTCTGAGTCAGTTTCGGACAGCGAGTTAGAAACATTACTATTACTCTATCGGAAGTCGAGGAAGGTAAAGCTGTGGAAAAGTGAGTACATGAAAAAAAGAGGAACTCACGGGGAATTTGCACTGACAAGAGAATTCTCCAATGAACGATTTGTGAACTATTTCCATGTGAATTGAGAGGAGTTTGAAGAAGTTCATAGCATGATTCAACCTATTATTTACTCCGAGGGATGCAATGCTCAAACTCCAATTGAAACTGAAGAAAAACTGGCAGTATTTTTGAGGTAAGTTTTTATTTTATGTTTTTTAAGAACTGATAATATACATTACAATATAATAAGAAACTGATAATATACATGGCAAAAACGCATAGAAATATTTATTCTGAGAAATGGTTAATGAAAGAGACTACGTTGGAAGATTCTAAGTTTTCACGAGAAGCCACCATCTCTCCACAGAAGTAGGAAGGAGGTTGTCCTGAAGAGCTTGTTGAAGCAGGAGAGCTCACGTGTCCAATTCGACCAGTTCCCCGGGTGATGACTGCTGTCGCCTGTACCAACTCCTGGGTTAAATGTAGGTTCAGTAATATTCAGCAGGAGTGCCTCCTCTTGCGATACAATGAGAAATACGTTTCTTCTTACAATGTGCTGAGATGCTGCTGGCATTTTTTTTGCTCACCTCGTACATTGATATGAAGAACAGATACAGATCGTCCTTCGGAGTTGTTCTTGCTACTAATTTTTTTCTTTCTTCACTTCTTTCTTTTGATCTATGTTCTCGTTGCTCAATATTCTTTTTTATTAAGTTGTAAATATCAAAATTTTTCACCTTCTTCTTTGGTTGTGGCGTTGGTGACACAGGAGATTCAGCAGACTCGTTGTTTGCAGAAATTACGTGATTCATCCTCTTCAACGTCGGCAGTGTTTGGTAAGTCCGAACCTTCAACACTTATCTCGTAAATAGGATCACCTTCACAATGTTGGGATTCAGGGTCTACATGTTGATCTTCTTCATTAGGAGGTTCTGAACTGTCATCATCGTCGGCGAAATTTGTATCACGGTTTTCATTGACCATGTAACGTGATAAAAATTCCATTTGAGCTTGGAACTTCCACGGTTTGATATCTACAGCAGCAACTCCACTTCTTCTCATACGTCGCTGTCGTCGTAGAGCATCTCTGTGATTATTTCTTAATTTCATCCAAGCACATTTAACCTCGTCATCTGAAAAAGAGAAAACAACATATTTCGTAATTAATTAATTGGTATGAACTGAACATTAATGAGTGTGTATTTCTTTGTTTCAGGTATTTGGCATCTGGGGATAACTACAGAAGCACTGGCTACAGTTACAGGATGGGAGATCGAACTTTAGCTAAAATTGTGAACGAAGTCTCGATTGCCATTTGGAGAAATATGCAACAGTTGCATTTAACAATAACCTACATGAGAAATGTGGATCTCGACTGCCTCAAATTTTGAAACACGATGGCATTTTCCACACTGCTTGGGAGCCATCGATGGAAAGCATGTTGTTATCAAAAAGCACAGCAACAAAGACAAACATGTACATACCAAAGCAACAGGGAACAACACCCTGTTACAAAACGTAGGGCACAACCTAGCTGCGCAGAGGGCCGGCTTATCTCCGCCAGACCCCACAGGAACCCTCAAAATTACAAACCACGCTCTGCTACAATTTGAGCAGCCCCTCCCCTCTTAACCTAACTAGAACGGGGAGACGCTGCTTTCGTCCCTGGTTCCTTTACGTTGTTTCGCAATGCCTTTATCCCTAAGGTAGAGTGGGGTGTCCAAGCTATAGGTCTTGACTGACGATAATCGGAAAAATCTCCAGATGAAAACAATAGTAAATATTTAATATAACAAAAATTGACTTATATACAATACAATGAAATACCAAGAAATACAACTCCATTCGCGACGCCGCAAGACTGACGTTGCGTATTTTTTTTTAGATTTTTCACCATCAACGCCGCTAAAAACTTTGACCAAAAATGAACCTGAATTTTCAACCAAGAAGAAAGAGGGGGGGGGGAAGAAAAACAAAGCCCGAAACTGAATTTCGCTCACTTACCGCGTTGACGGCGAGCCACTCCCTCATAGAAAAACGTTCTCTCGGGAGATACGTGCACACTTCTTAACAAGTCAAATACAGCCCCGTAAATTCACAGGGATGCCTGCTCAAGTTCTACAGTGCTGCAGCGGCTACTTCTTGCTTTCAGCACCGTTCAGGTATTATTCTGTGCAGGCTCCGTGTGCGCGTGCCGCTGCTTATCTTTGATACGTGTGCTCACGTATTTTAAATTTAAAAAAAAATTTAGAAGTTTTTAAATTGAAAATTTTAAAAATAACAAAATTCAAAAATCAAATTGACGTATGTAAATTAACAAAGATTTTATACATATCTGACAAATATCAGCAAGAGGATTCTGATATATCGGGACCTATTAACAACGGATAAATGAACAATTAAGAAAGCTGGTGCTTTTTAATTTTAAACTACGTGCAGGGTAACAGCTACGTGAGAGAAACACACTTGATGATGGCCATTTACGGCCAAAACATGTAGTGTAGAAGAAAAGACTACAAAAACTACAATAAATTGTTGCACTTAGGACGGAGTTTGTGTCATACATTGTGTAGAATGTAACAGGATGCTTAAATATAATATTGTAAACCTTTCACAAGTTTGGTCAACAGGAAACTTACCTGCTGCCTTTGTTGAATATCTTTCAGATTCTGCCTAAACCTTTGCTAATAGAATTAACTGCTCAAAGCATTCAGGGGATGAAATGAGCATTAGTTGGAGGTTTGATTAAGCTGTGTCAACTGCATACATTGTATATTATGAGATTGTACTGTTTGTCTATTTGAAGTACACGTAAAAAAGAACCGACTTATGCGTTTTGCTTTCTGAGATATAATGTCACACCATCCACTGAAAACCAAGTGACATTTCAGTCATTTCAATTCAGTTCAGTTAGTCGCTGCAGTGAAAAATGTCATGACTGCTCTGTTTCAAAGCGTTCCAAGTTAACCATTTATCAAGCATTATTCCAAACAATGTTATGTAGCCTAAGATACTAAGAGCGTCGTAAAATAAACCCTAAATAACACACGCTTGCCAGAAAACTAACATACTTGAGGATTTCTTTTATTGCTAGTGGGGTGGGACTAAGTCCCTTATACTACGGTCACTTCTGGCCTATTGTACCAGCCCCAGATTATACGTGAGGGTGATTGCGGCACAATTGGAGCAATGAAGATTGGCAGGGGAAACCAAAGTACTTGGAGAAAACCTGCCCCAGCGCCACTTTGTCCACCACAAATCCCACCTGACCAGACCCAGAATCAAACCTGGGCAGCCACGGTGGGAAGCCAGTGACTAACCGCTTGAGCTATGGCGCGGCCTTACTTGTAGGATACCAGTAGATTCTAAAGGTTTCTTGAATCGCTGGATTTTGTCCTGCCAGAAAGCGCTCCTTCTAATGGACCCAGCAGAGTAGTTGCGTGCCCCTCAAGAGCGGACTGAAACAGGCCCAGTTCCTGAAATGGTACGTTCTCTAGTTTTTTGACACCATACAATGGACACAATAAAAAAACCCAGCAATTCTGAGTGACATACGACACCAATTTTAAATTTCGAATTTTTGTGAATGAAGCTCAGGTCAGAAACATTTTTTTTTATTCTCCTTCAGTTAGGGTACAGGCTTCTTGGTCACGTTCAGAGTTTCACTGTTGTTCTGCTCTCTTCTTCACGTTTCACATTCTTTTTATTCCATATTTGTATCTTCATCCATTTTTCCATGTGGCTCTGCATCGCCTTGTAAATGTCAGCCCTTCTGCTGCATCAGCTACACCAAGCGGCTGTTTTGCTGCACACAGCATGTGTTCACAATGTGATGTAAAATTTATATACATTAAAACAGTTTCTGCGCTAGCGAGATGCGAGGTCTCAAAAATAACAACTTCCATTAATGATTACTAACTCAGCTTCCTGGCATTACTTATGTAGCAGTAATAATGTGTCTGAAACTAAAAAACACATAATGCAAAATACATTTCTTGAAAGAAGACAAGCCTTGCTTCAGTCTGGTGGAAATACAGGGTTTGAAAACTGAGTGGCTGGATGCAAGTCACTGCCCTCCTGTATACTGTACTACCCCAATGTCTGTAACACAAGAACCCAGACTTACTGACCATCTGAGACACATCTGGTAATGTTCACAGTTTCAGGAGCCAGGAACAGACATGATTTGGATGTCAAAGATACTCGTATTTAGGTACACGTTTTCCAAGGAGTGAACGTCTTTTTAATATTTAAACCTCCTGAAAAATCAGTATGTAAATTCTTATTCCATGACTGCATTGCATGTAAATATCTGTATAAAGTGATCCTGAGGCTTTTCATAGTCTTCCTCAGTCCTGCCAGAATTCTGGGATACAACCTTACGTTATATCACAACTTCCTCTCAACTAATCATTCCATAATTATCCTACAATTTCGAGCTCTGTAATCTGAATACTGAGAAACCTGTCAAACACATCACAAAACAAGTCGTTTATTGTCTTGGCATTGCAGGGTCAAGGTCAATTAAACTAGAGTGCACTGGCAGGGTTGGGTCAGCATGATGGGCTCAACAACAAATGCCAGTTCCAAGCTATCAGTCTAAAAGTCCTAATACCAAATATTAACCAATTCCATACAACTGCACCTTTCCAGAGAAGCTACTAGATGCTCAGCTACTCAGTGTATTACAAACATATTACTGAATGCAGGGGTCATTACCATTCACTGTCATGTTCACAGCCAGACACTGGCCCCTATCCTGAGCCAGATCATTTCATTCCATATTCCCATTTTAAGCATACAGAATAGACAGCCTCAGCCTACCTTCACACTTTTCAGAGGACAAGCGCAACTAGTAAATCCATTCTTGCACTGCCCACTACTTCATATGCTGAAGACACACAAAATGGAACATATATTCCAGGACCATGAAGCAGGATCAGTTCTGTGGATGCAGCAACAATCAACATGTGGTGACAAACAAGGAAGAGCTCTACTGATGAAAAGTTATTGAAGGATGAATGTATGGTAATTCTTATGCAAAACGAAGGAAGCATTCCTTGGCAAGAAAAGTGTCAGTAATCAGAGACCACTTGCTCAGAGGGACCAAGAACTGGTTTCGGTTACAGTGAAGTTCATTCAGGCAGTCAAGAAAATGGGTATGGAGGGCAGCCCTAACTGCACTGAATTTAAGTACAATTAAAAGCTATTACTCTTGTGTCACTTCACTACATGAAACCTCTGAATTCCAATTAATAATATTAATGATACCGCCTAATTTTATTCAAGAATTATATAATTACACTTAAACTTACTTCACAATTTTCAGCTGACTCTTCCACTCTAAGGCAAAGGAGTGCCTCAAAGCTAAACTATTTTCTTTTTTGATCTCATGACAAACCGCGCAGTTTCTCTGCTGATATTCACAAGGAAAATATGTAAGGAAGTCTTTCATGATCCTTTGAATTAAATTCTCTGTGCTATTTTATTTATCCACAAGCAGAATCAACACATCTTTATTTAAATTTCTTTTTATAATCAACATACCAAGCATTCCACAAAAAGGTATCTCATCTGCAATGTCCAATATAGCGTAGTGTGTACTCACCTGACCAATCTGACAGTTATCTCAATATACTCAATCCAAGTGATATACACTCAAGTGCCAAAAGTCATGGGATAGCAGTATGTAAATTTATTTTTAAGTGGCACCACAGTCCCTTGACGGCTTGGGAATGCCCAGAGCACTATCAGTTGTGAGGTCTTCTCTCGTGAGTCAGGTAGAACACCGGTCAGTCTGCTCATGGCAAGCCAACGTGAATTAGTAGAGTTTGAACGAGGCACGAGAGTGGGTGCCAGGTGGATGGGACATTTAATTTCTGAAGTTGTGTGGTCATTTAACATTCCTCGATCCACAGTGTTATGTGTGTACCAGGTATACCTTGTGGAAGGCATTTCCACCCACCGTGGACAGCACAGTGGCCGACCACGGGTGCTTAATGATCATGACCAGCGGCGTCTAGCTAGAATTGTCCGTGGTAACAGACAAGCGACACTGGCTGAAATCACATCCACATTCAATGCAGGAGGTACCATACGCACATCCAGCAGGTCAGTGCAGGGTTCCTTAGCGTCCATGGGATATGGGAGCAGAAGACCAACCAGAGTGCCTCTGTTAACACCACGACACAAAACACAGGGCCTCACTTGGGCTTGTGACATCACTAATTGGACCCTGGAGGATTGGCAACATGTGGTGTGGTCCAATGAGTCATGGTACCAGTTGTTTCGGGTGGATGGTAGGGTTCGGGGTTGGTGCAGACCCCATGAGGCCATGGACCCCAGTTGTCAACAAGGCACCGTGCAGGCTGGTGGTGGTTCCATATTGGTGTGGGGTGTGTTTACGTGGCATGAGTTGGGTCTGCTCATCCACCTAAACACATCATTGACCGGTGAACGCTATGTTACACTGCTTGGTGACCATTTGCAGCCCTTCATGGACTTCATGTACCCCCACAATGATGGGATATTCCACCAGGACAATGCACCATGTCATCGGGCCAGAGTTGTCCAGAACTGAGGAGAATTCTGGAGAGTTCTGACAAATGGTGTGGCCACCATGTTCGCCCAACATAAACCCAATCGAGCATTTATGGGACGTGGTGGAGAGGGCTATTGGCACCCAAAATCCTGCACCTACAAGTACCAGGGAGCTGTGGGTGGCTATCCAGACGGCATGGCTTTTCTGTCCACTTTTGGAATTGATGCCACGTCAAGTTGCTATACTTTGCCAGGGTAGAGGGGGTCCTACATGATACTAGATACCTATCCCATGAATTTTGGCACTTCAGTGTACAAATCTGTAACTAACAGATCCATGAATTCACTCACATGTAATGGCATTAGAGCATAGATAACATACAGCAAAAAACATACGATGCTGCTGAATTTACACCAGAACTATAGAAGAATGTCATGTCATGTCTGTTTCCACTCAACAAGGCAGGGTATTGTGCACATTCAGCTATAAGAATCAAATGGAACTCATTTGCACAGATGTTTTGTACCACTGGACTCAGCTCATTTCCCATCAGTTCGAAAGGTTAGCAACAGCAATGAACTCCAATATCTTGTCGAATTCTACAAAAATGCAGCATGCCACACATAGCAAAACTGTCTCACTTACAACATGAAATACTGTGGCATGCTACAAGTCACATACTGTTCCTTTAGTCTAAACCCATCTCTACTGCTCTATGATTTACTACACACATCAACATGTATACGCTGATGTGTCTTCAGACTACTTTGCCGATTGAATGACTTATTACACACCTCACATATAAATGGCCGCTCTCCACTATGTATGCGCTGATGTCTCTTCAGACTACTCTGCAGACTGAATGGCTTGTGACATACCTCACAGTAAAATGGTTTCTCCCCACTATGCATGCGCTGATGTGTTTTCAGACTACTCTGCTGGGTGAATGACTTATTACATTTGTCACAACAAAATGGTTGCTCCCCACTGTGTATGCGCTGATGCCTCTTCAGATCACTCTGCTGACTGAATGACTTATTACATATATCACAGAAAAATGGCTTCTCCCCACTATGTATGCGCTGATGTGTCATCAGACTACTCTGCCACCTGAATGACTTATTACACTTGTCACAACAAAATGGTTGCTTGCCACTGTGTATACGCTGATGCCTCTTCAGATCACTCTGCTGACTGAATGACTTATTACATATATCACAGAAAAATGGCTTCTCCCCACTATGTATGCGCTGATGTGTCATCAGACTACTCTGCCACCTGAATGACTTATTACACTTGTCACAACAAAATGGTTGCTCCCCACTGTGTATGCGCTGATGCCTCTTCAGATCACTGTGCTGACTGAATGACTTATTACACTCATCACAACAAAAAGGTTGCTCACCACTATGTATGCGCTGATGAATCTTAAGTGTACTCTGCTGACGGAATGACTTATTACATACATTACAGCAAAAAGGCTTCTCCCCACTATGTATGCGCTGATGTGTCTTCAGATGAGTCTGATGACTGAATGACTTATTACACTTGTCACAACAAAATGGTCGCTCCCCACTATGTTTGCGCTGATGTGTCTTCAGATGACTCTGCTGATTGAATGACTTATTACATACGTCACAGCAAAACGGCTTCTCCCCACTATGTATGCGCTGATGTGTCTTCAGATGACTCTGATGAATGAATGACTTGTTACATATAGCACAGTGAAATGGCCGCTCCCCAGTATGTATGTACATATGTTTCTTCAGATCACTCTTTGAAATGGAGGACTTATTACATATGTCACATATAAATGGCCGCTCCCCACTATGTATGCGCTGATGTTTTTTCAGACTCCTCAGCTGACTGAACGACTTATTACAAATGTCACAGGAAAATGGCCACTCACTAGTATATATGCACTGATGTTTTTTCAGCATACTCTGTTCACCGAATGACTTACTACATACATCACAGCAATATGACCGCTTCCCAGTATGTATGCTCTGATGTGTCTTGAGATTACTCTTAACACTGAATGACTTACTACACACATCACAGCAAAATGGCCGCTCCCCAGTATGTATGCGCAGATGTGTCTTAAGATGACTCTTACACCTGAATGACTTCTTACACACGTTGCAACAAACCGATTGCTCCCCACTATGTATGTGTCGATGTGCTATCAGAATTTGCTCTTGACTGAATGAATCACCACACTCATCACTGGAATATCGTCGCTCCTCACCATGTACAAGTTGAAGTTCATTCAAATTATCCTGGAAAATGAGAGTAAATAACATGAAAAATCGAAATAGGAAGAGAAATCAGTTTGAAGCCCCAGTACAATGAGATGTTAAATCGGTAGGCACGAGAGTGGTCACAGAGAGGAGAGGAAGGGACACAGAGAGAGCACACCGTTTTGTATGGTGTGTGCTTGAGTCCATCGGCATGTATGGAGATTTCTGAGTCAACAGAAGTTAAGCTGCACTGCCACTGTTTCACAAATTCCAAATTTAATAATTTATGCATTTGTAAGGCTGGACAGGCATCTAATTAATAGTGGATAGGCTCCTAAAATGAAATAACAATAAAGGCTGAGCTAAAAAATGATACTAAGAAGGGATGCATATGGCCCAGCAAAGTCCCTTAAACAATATATACTGTCACATGTTTGGTAAGCAACATGACAAGAAACCGTGTGTGTTCTCGGATTTGAATGAATATTTATTGGACAGTCACTTTTAAACTCACACTTACAATTATTCACCACTCACAACATCCTTTAGACGTTTCTTCTCCAATGTTACAACACTTCTGTTCTAGTCAGATAAGAACTCTTTCCTGCTAATGTCAAATACACTCTCTCCTGGTCTCTGGCCGACGTTGGACTGTTACAACTTGCCCTCAGAGTGAATAGGGAATACCTTGTTGAAAGGTTAATTCCGCCCACTGTTACACAACAAACAATTCATTGCTTGGATACTGCTAGCTGCTGTATAGCAATTGATGCATTCTGATTCCTAGCCATTGTAGTGGGAATGTTGCTTGTCCCAAACAGCCTAACAGTATATTTTGAAACATTTTGTGTTAAAGCGCTTTAAAACTTTGTGACCGCTATGTGCTGACGTGATTTTCTGGTGGTAGAAGTGACTATATTGTGGGGTGCCTGCGTATCAGGATCTTCTCACATTGTTTTTGATGTTTTGGATTTTCCTGCAAATTTTGTTTAAGTGGTATTCGTTTCATAATTAGATTTGTGCTATATCCGTTTTTGTAGGATGTTTTTAATCGTCTTTTTTTTTTGTTTGTTTTGATTCTCTAGTAACTGGATATGTGTGTAGTCAGTTGAGCAGTTACCTTATACCCGACAGTTTATGTTCATATGGGTGACATGAACTCCAACTTTCTATCTTTTCGATGTATAGTAATTTTTATGTGTTGTTCTTTTCCCATGGTAAACTTTATGGATGGCTGTATGTAGCAAATCTGGATATTCAAACCACATATTAAATATGGAACACTCATGTGGCAAAACAGCAGACACTCTGGATGTCATAAGGATTGGAAGGAAAAGCAGACATTTAAACATACTAGAGAGATATCATATTTACAAATTATACAAGAACAATTTACATATGTACGCCATACACACTGAGACACACAACCCAATGTTTCAAACAGTGCATGAACTTTATGATAGCACTAGATACGCTACCTTCGCTATGTTTAGTATACAGGAAGACCATGCTAGTAACACATATACAACAGAAATATGACACACAAAACATATGTACACAGAATTGCAACATTTGATATATGAAGACATGATAAAAGTCATGAAGATATTTATAGTAATAATACTAATACACATTACAGTATGATACCCAAAAAAGAATACAAAGACAGCATTCTCGTCATGAAATAAAAACTAAACAATGACGTGCACGGGAACACGATGGACAAGTGAACAGTGCAGTGGTTCCCCCGAAAAACAAAAGAAAAATGTCTTTATGCTTGGCCCATGTGCAGCCGAAACATATGTCAAACTAGAGACATTTTAGTAATCTGATAATCACTTTTAGTGTATACGTTATACTTTTAGCTTCTTAATGACTTTTTATGATTTTAACATCATCATGAAGTATTAAAGTTACACTTTTAGTGAGAAACATATTCTAGATGTCTTTTACATTTAAAAAAATATTGTTGCATTATTGACGGGCGCTTTAATAATAAGGATAATGACTCAATGCAACAGGATGATGTAATAAAATATTCTCACATGAGTTAGCTTGTGTGGTCTTGACCTTACTATCGTCTTGTGGAGCTTATGCTCATTATTCTGTATGTCACCCAACAGGTTGTTTATTCAGAGTGATCTCTAAAAGTTTTTAATTATTATTAGGAGAAGGTTGTGAGTGTGTTGTAATGGAACTCGTTATTAGGTTATTAAGTATATGTACTTATGTATATTTGATTTTCTTATGATGATATGTGTACAGGCTGCTCTCTGTGTTGATGTTGTCACTATGTTGTAGCATTTTGGTCTAGATTACTTGTTTGGGGGGTATCTGTATATGTGGGTATGTCTGTAGAGAGTCAGGTGGTATGAGGTAAGGGGGGAGGATACTGTGAGTGGCTGAAGAGACAGGGAAGGGGTGGGGTTATTTGGTGTGTGTCTTTTTACTAGAATGTCGAATATGGGGTTATGTCCTTCTGTAAATGTATCGTTCATCTGTAGACCTTTCTTCATTATGTCTCACATATATAATAGCTTTCTAATGTTTTGAGTTTGTGTTCCTTCCTTTCTGTATGTAATATTTCATGGTCTGGTCCACTGTGTCAAATGTATGTCCAGTTTCCAAAATGTGTTGGGCAAAGTTAGAACGTTGTTTATTAGTCCTGATAGCATTTATATTTATATTTTTATTTGCACAACACATTTTATGTGCCTCATCTATAACGCACAACAGTATGCATACTATTAAGATAGGTACATATGTGTCAGGCAACTGTGCCTCATTTGAAGGCGCGTTAACATGATTTTCTGCTTCCTGATGGAGCAATTCCCCTTAACCTTTAAATGCCAGACTATTGAAATAGTGGTAGCTTGAGGTGGCTGGAGTTTATTTAAATGCCCGCTGTTGGTGCGTGTTTAAATGCCCTTTGCTACTCTGCATTTAAATGTTCATTCCTGCTAGGGTGCTTAAACAATTTTAAGCATTTTGTTTAAAAATGCTATATCTAACACAATTTTTATGATAAATGTATGGAATTAACTTTGTTTATCAGCAAAGAACATAGTGTCACATATTACAAGGTGGTTCAAATATGACCGGGACTGATTTAAAAAAAAAACAAACATAATTGCCATACACTTATTTGCACATGTCAGTCTTCAATGTACTGCCCTCCGGAGTCAACACATTTTTTCCAACTTTCTGGAAGCATCCTGATGCCCCCCCCCCCAAAAAAGACTTGTGGTTGGCGGCGTATCCACTCCTGAACTGTCTGGATGATGGCGTCGTTGTCCACAAACCACATGCCTTGCAAGCCTGATTTGAGCCTTCTGAACAGGTAGAAATGACTTGGGGCCAAATCGGGACTATACGGCGGATGTGTCAGAAGGTTCCATTTCAATTTCTGAAGGGTTTCCATTGTTGTTTTGGCCGTATGGGGGTGTGCATTGTCTTGAAGGAAGGCTACCCGCTTTCCACCTGTCTTCCACTTGGATCGGATCTTTTCCTTCATGTCTGTTGCCAGGAGGTCTGAGTAATAAGCTGCATTGACTGTTCTGGCATCTGTCAGAAAGTCTACATGGATAACCCCCTGCCAGTCCCAGAAGAACGTTGCCATCACTTTTCCTGCCGAACGGCTCCTCCGCGCTCTCTTGGGTTTGGGAGAACTGGTATGCCGCCACTCGCGTGATGACTGCTGGGACTCAGAAATGAAGTAGTGCACCCACGTTTCATCGGTGGTCACTATAGACTTCAAAAATCACCTTCATCTTCATACTGCTGTAGGAGACAACTGGCAGCTTGCATGTGCACCATTTTGTTTGCGTTCGTCAATGTGCGTGGTACCCACCATGCATTCACCTTGCGATAGTGCAGGTGGTATTTCACAATGTCTTCTACACTACCAACACTGATGGACAGCATTGCTCCAAGTTCCTTGATAGTGATGCGCCTATTCTCACGAATAAGTGCGTCTGCATGATCAATGTTTGGCTTGGTGACGGATGTTCACGGCAGACGATCATGCGGTTCATTCTCCATGCGCTCTCTGCCCTCTCTGAAGCACTTACACCACTCAAACACATGGGTCCATGACAGACACTCTTCCCCATATTGTTGTTGGAGTCTGTGGTGAATTTCAGCGGACGGGACATTTTCTCCGAGGAATTTGATCACAATGCGTTGTTCCACGCTCTGCGGTACCTTCTGTACGCTCATCCCTCTAGCAACTCAGACAGCACTGAACAGGTTCTAACCCTAACAGGAAGGAGAGTGGAGGTTGTGGCTACAATCTCTCAAGGTCGCACAGTTGCTGCGCAGTGCGGCTTGTTTACAAAAAAATCAGTCCCGGTCATATTTGAACCACCTAGTATAATATAAGATTTGCAAATTTTTATACAAAGAGTTCTACTCTATTTTCAATTTTTTTTTTAACTCTGATGCATACTGTTAAAATGGTTTGTCAGTTCTTCACAGAGTTTTTCTGCATTATAAAATAAGTACTGCTTCTAACACCTGACATATTTTAGCTGTCCCTGGTGTCATAGAACAGATGGAAGCAATAAAATCATTTGGTCTTCTGCTAGCAAGTTTCACATCTTTGTTACACTCTTCAGATGCTCGAAACTTTTGACTAAAGGGCAGAAGAATAAAAGCATGGCTATTCAAGAAAAAGCTAGAGGGAACAATTCAAAAGTCCCTTCTTCAGTGCTAAGACTTTCCATTGCAGCTGCAAGAGATTATTGCCCTTTCTACAGACGTGAACAGACAGTTTTGTCATGGCTGAGATACTGAGTGTGATCTGCTTTCTGTGTGTTCGTAGTGAAATCAAATACTGTAGTTTCATTTCAGCCTATACAGGGTACTTCAAAAAGAGCTCTACAACTTTGAAAGCTTATATAAATTTATACAGGGGACATACAAAACGTTTTGAACTGTCATAATGTAGCAAAACACACCAAGTTTTATGCACGTGGTACTGTAGTACTCAATACCGCCACCACGAGAGCTCCCGCAGTTGAAATCAAGATGGCTACTTT